TTATATATTTTAATCATCATTTCGATTGCGCAAGATCAGACATACGTCTGGTTATGTTGATTCGCTTTTTGTCCTAGTTCGTTTCAATATGGTTGTAAGGATGCTACTCTGCTCTGATGATGTCCATCATACGACTCAGCACGTTTTTACCGGATTTGAAGAAGATTACCTTGGAAACAGTGTCAACACTAATGTTCCAGTCAAGCCAATCGAAAGCTGATCAAGAGGTATCCGCCGTTGTCTTGTGACGAGATCGACAATTATGAAATAAGAGATTCCTCGAAGCCTAACTTTTCTTCGCATATAAATTCTCTAATGTTATGTCGACAACCCATCATAATTGAAAGGCACCATAACTAGCACCGAGTTACAATCCATCAAATTGTCATGTTAGGGCAATCTTCTTGACCTATTTCCCTTTCAACCATTGTGGCATCTCTTCTTACTCTTATCCTAGCTCTGTATAATTTTCCATCAATTGCACTTCATGTGTCCACTCTACCTATCTATGCCGATCTGTACCGTTTTTCCCAACGTTTTACAAGATTGCGTCATTTCTCAAACTTCCTATAATTATCAGGTCTCCTAAGCTTCGAAGACCTAGTTATCCTCTCCATCTCTGGGGCCTGTGTATAGCTTCCTTAAGAACGGCTTATTTTGGAGATATAACGCGTTATTCTCTACTTATAGTGAAACACTTTTCTAACTCTATCATGTTACCAGTCTTTCCTGGCCCTGAAATTGTACTTATTTCGGCATATGTACATGGGCTAGTAAATAGTTTTGCCACATACGCCATAGATCAACCTCCGGGCACTTAACACATGCTTTGAAAGCCGATTGATATTGTGCCACCAACCTCCGCTGCTACACTTAAGATGATTTGAAGTAGTTATAGATGCTGAAATTAGCACTAAATGTTAAACTATTCATGCTTTAGTACATTTCATTTCGCTTGAAAAGGCGAGTGGAAAGAGTTTGTCAGCAGCTCTCATCGGTAGCCTTGGATCTGTGAGTGTAGATTTGTATAAATAGCTCCTCGGCTCACCGCCCTGCGACCCTGATGTATCCTTGCAGAGCTTTCGTCCGTCATGTGACTGACATCGTCAGAGCAGGATATCATGCTTAACGATAATTCACCCAAAACACGAAAACACGATAGATGTCCTGCTTCAGACCTACCTACTTCCTATAGTCGAATTTGGTCCACTTAGGTATCTCATGTCTTTGTTGAATATTCTATGCTTTGCCTAAATGTGGCTGCTGATGACATGTGAAGTGGCTGCAAATAAAGCGTGAAACGGATGCAATTGGGACCGAATAGCCGCATCCTCCCCCAAAGCACTTATACCTTTGCTCCTGCAATGTTACCGCATGTGATTGCATTTCATCGCACGCGCGCTGTGTGAATGCATTGCTATTGAAATGAATGCGAGATTCAAAACCAGATTAAAGCATAAGCAAGCCTATTCTTGCTCAGTGGTACTTCTTGTTTCCTCTCTCTCTCTCTCTCTCTAATCCTATTTAACAGCCACAGGTAATTTCCACTTAATTTCCTACATTCATTCCTTCAATTCAGGGCGTTGGCTGTTTTGTTTATTTCTACCGCCTGCCCAATATTTCGCTTACTGGTATAGTCCCTATATCCAGCTAAATGTTTGGCATTAGCTCAATCTATCTAGTGTCCTGTATGAGCCACGTGTTCTGCCAATCCCGATTTTTGGATATACAGACATTTGCAGTCTGCTTTGTGTTCAGATAACCTCTTTCGTATTAGCCTACAGGTATCTCCCACATAGGCGCTTCCGCATGAACACAAATCTTCTAACAGTACGGTCTGGTGAGAGGGTCAGAGTGTTTTCGAAAAGAAGGCAAAACAGAGGAATATGTTATTTTCTCTGTAAATGGTCCTGATGCCCCACCTCATCAATTAGCCTATCTTCGACATATTACACGATGACAGTATAATGATACTGATAGATTGGTCTAACTTATTATCTTGCCCCAAATATGCATTTCTCTCCATCCTATTTGGCAATACTATAAAATTATTGTCAATCAGCCCTCGTAGATAATTATTATCGACCAGAATTCTCCTTAGTCTCCTCAGTTCCTGGTCCCGATATTCAACATCTGCCGGGCGCAGGCCCCTTATTATCATAGATAACTTAACTTCTACTTTAACCCCATAAGTGTGGTTGGAGAAGAAATTCAAGTGAAAATCTGCATTTGTGGGTTTCCTATTCACATCTCTACCTAATCTGGTCCCCTCTGCTAACTAGGACATCAAGAAAAGGTAAAACATCTTCCTTTTCTAACTCGATGGTGAATTTCATCTTCCCATCGATACTGTTCATCAAACCAAGAATATTATTCTGGTTTTCTTTGCCATGTTGCTAAATAGCAAAGTAGTCGTCCATATAGCGAAATACTAATTTGGGTACGAAGAGCAACTGGGTTTCAATGAATCTTCTAAGATAACATTGTTGGGGAGACCATTTCGTCCGAAAGTTAATGGAGAAGAGATTCGTAAGTTGATCTCACCACAAGACGATGACCGAATTCCGTTGTACTGCAGCCGTTTGGCTTTACTACAAGGTTCAGGTTGACGCAATCCACGAGACATCCTCCGTCGCTTCGAGTGAAAATGGGCTGAGCTTTCCTCTATCATCAGAGCTGGAACTCATTATTGTAAAAGTCAAGAAGACTATCCTGCTCTATTTTACCTCTTATATATACTCGTTTTTAGTTGTGAGTACCTAGTGCTAAAATGAGACTTTTACTAGAATGAGTTCTAGCTCTTATGATGGACGAAAGCTCAGCCCATTTTCACCCGAAGGATGTCTCGTGGATTGCGTCAACCTGAACCTCGTAGTAAAGCCAAACGGCCGCACTACAACGGGATTCAACCGTCGTTTTCTGGTGAGATCAACCTACGAATCTCTTCTCCACACACTTTCATACGAAATAGAGTCCTCCCCAACAATCATAATTTTAGAACTAAAAGTGCCTCCCAAATTAGACGTTCCTCAAATTGAGCCATGCAATTATTTGCCAAAATTGGTGACATACACGAACTAATAGCTAAACCTCGTGCTTGTTTGTGCAGTTTACCATTAAAGGTAAAACATGTACTGTGCATCGCCAGGTTGGTCAGTATTATTATTGGCACCACTTAACTTCGGGCTCCCTAAAATCTTAGTGTGTTGGTCTAGTGTGGAATCCAGGGCCTGTATGGCATCGTCTACAGGAATTTTAGCTTACATAGACTTAACATCAAAACTTATCAGCAATTCCCCAATTTCTATCTCCTGCTCGTCGACTAAGTGAACGAATTCATAAAAAATCTTACATTATACCTTCTACATCTCGAAAATTTGCTTTAACTGAGTACAAATAAATCGTGATATTTTATGCAACACGCTCTTATTTTTCACAATAATTTTAAATGATACTCCATCTTCTTGCATTTTGGACAGACCATATGCATTCGGAAGCCCAGCATCTAATTGAAGATGGGTGTTCATCTTCCACTTCTTCAGCTCCTCGTTACACAATGCTGCAGTCAACCCTTTAGTCTAGACTTAAGAGTTTCTGTGGGGTCTTTACTGATTACCTTGCATGTAGTAGTGTCATCCAAGACCTGCACCATTTTTTCTACATTGCTCAACCTATCCATAACTACCACTGTTCCCCATTTGTCTGCCCTCTAAATCCTTTGGTCCTCATCATTTAGTTGCCTTTTGATGTTTTTCACTTCTATTCCTGGGTGTTGTTTTTACATGGCTGTCAATTAAAAGAAATTTGCCTTCATCCTCACGAAAGGAAAGTCACTGCAGCATTGTTAGCTCAAGCAACTTATTAAAACCCAGTTAAAGTCAGTCTTCTTATAAGCTTGAAAAGCGACGCAATAACCTGACTGTATTTTGCTCAAGTCAGATCATGACTTCCATTAGCAAATGCTTTTTTTAATTTAAAGTCGATTATATATAATATTGACGCTTGTTAGTCAGAGCTTCAGGTTACCCATATATATTTCTATTTATTTTGTCATTTTCAGGTACATCCACTCATCAGTACTCGCAGGCCAACCAGTAAGCCCTCTGGCTCCATGAATTTGGCCGCTCTGGCGGCAGCAGGGGGGCTGGTACCTGGAGGCAATGGCAGTTTATCCTGCTCGACTAATGGGGCCAGTGGTGGATCTTCTGGCTCCTGTGGGGCTGGAGGCGTTCATTTAGTCAACCACCTTAGTCAGGCATCTGGAGGAATCGGAATCGGTTCTGGTGGTACCGGTTCTACTAATTCATTTGTTTCTTCTAACAGCACTGGAGCTGCTTCTATGTCACTTCTTTCGACAACCACTGGAATGGCTTCTGGGACTGGCCTTTCAGGACCCCGGAAACCCGGTGGTCGGAATAGGGATAGGGCTAAATCTCGCAAGTGACTATCGCCCTCGCAGGCCGGTTTATTCGCTTCTTTTTTTCCTGCCAGCCTTCTTTGCTGCTACTCCCTTTGTCCATTATTTCGGTTCGATAGCATTTATTCCTTCTATTTATTCAAATTGTAAATTAATTGCCTT